TATCTGTCAAAGAAATATGGAAATATATCACTAGTGGCTGATATTTGTTTTGAAATGAATAATTGATTCAATGGTATCTTATCAATACAAAGATGAAAGAATACAATCCACCCCCGTCTGCCGGCCACATGCTATCCAAAATCAGGATCATCTCATTATGGATCATTTTGATATTTCATATATTCAGAGAAATAAACTAAATAAAATATTCCAGGACCATCAATGAAGCCTGCCACAACCATTTACAAACGCAATTATGCGATAATATCAATGCAAAATTATTAAATTCTGCTTTGTGGTTACCAACTCTCGAGAAGGGCTGAGAATTGTAATCTGCTGCAACCAATGCTAGCCTAGGATTGCCAACATGCATGGCAATAATAATTTTATTCAATATTATATTTCTTTATATTATTATATCAATAGGTTATTTTCCAAGACATATCCATCCTATATATTTTATCAAATCATCAATATCAATATATATTTCATCAATTAGGAATAAATCTATTGCGAAAATCATTTAATTTCAATAATATATTATTTATTATTATTATATATAAAAATCTAAAAAATAACAATTAAATATTGCAACCATAATAATAATTAATTATTAATATTCCATATTTAAATAAATAATAAAATATCTTAATAAATAATATCTAATCAAAAAAGAATAATTCGATAAATTTTTATCATTTTTTTTGCAAACAATGTAGGCACACTAAAGGTTTCTTACGATAGAGGAATAAAAGGCATGAATAAATCGGCAAGGCGCGTAGGCGTGAACGACTAATTCGTTACTATTTATATTTATGTATCTCGATATCATTCATGTGTATTTCGATTAACAAACTCGCAGGGGGATCGGAAGTGTTTTGCTTCGAAATGCAATTTTCGTGGCAAGTACAGCACTTTAAATATAATCTAATCGGTGAAGAATTTAAATTTCAAAATATATAATGAATCGTAATTTTTTGATATATAATTCATTTTCAAATTTCGTACCAAACATAATATATCCAATTTCGTCTCAAATATATTACTTTATTTCATAATTTTCGCGACAAATACGAAAATTTATAATATTCGAAATCCAAATTCTTAACAAATACAACAATTTATATACCTCGAAATACAAATTTCGTAACAAATACAACGCATAATAAACCTCGAAACGCAAATCTCATTACACACACACCGCTTAATAAAATTCGAAATACAAATTTTGTAACAGGCGCAATATTTTATAATTTCAAGTATTAATACTTTCACTCTCCCACTTTCACCCTCACTCCCGCTCACAACCACACTCCTCACACTCACCCCCATTCTCCCATTCGCAGACTCTCACTCGCTCTCACTCACACTTGCACTCGCACCACACGGACACCCACACCCACTCTCACACTCACTCACACTCGCTCACACTCGCTCACTCACTCTCACCCACACTCACTCGCGCCCACACTCACTCGCGCCCACCTTCACTCTCACTCACTCACTCACTCTCACTCACTCTCACTCACTCTCACTCACTCTCACTCTCACTCACTCTCACTCACTCTCACTCTCACTCTCACTCACTCACACTCACTCACACTCACTCACACTCACTCACACTCACTCACACTCTCACACTCTCACTCTCCCTCACACTCACACTCACGCTCACCCACTCTCACTCTCACTCTCACTCACACTCACTCACTCACTCACTCTCCCACTCTCACTCGCACACACACTCTCACTCTCAACCACACTCACTAACCCTCACTCACGCTCACTCTCAGTCTCACCCTCACTCTCACTCACACTCGCCGCACTCACTCACACTCACTCTCCCGCACTCACACTCACTCTCCCACTCTCACTCACACTCCCTCTCACCCGCACTCACTCACACCCACATTCACTTCATCACCGCCATCACCTCTCTGGACCCCAATGCGTCTAGATCTCTAGACTTTCTGCTTACAGACCTCACACATACTGTTTGGGGTCTCTTGCCGGGATAATTTTATATATTAAATATATACAATATTATATCTATATATAATATATAGATATTTATTTTTATTAATGTACTAATATATATTTATATACTACTATATTTATTTATATACAAATAATCTAAAGTAGATTTACTTTCTTTTAATTTTCCTTTGATAAATATATCAATTATGCTAATATTGAAAAACTATTGATATAATGTTTAATCTTTGATAAATATATATACATATATATATATTCATTATATGCAAGAATTATCAATCCTGGTGTCTTATATGTTATTTTGTCACTCCAAGAGATGAAAGAAAACATGAGCAACATCAAGGATTTTATTATTTTATGTAACGCTACGGGCAGGGCGGCGGTTGCATCATTGAGACAGGGTGCAATGGTGGAAGATATCGCTCTGTTCATGTGCAGCTGCAATTGCTGTAGAGGTGGGCCTCAGTGTCACCTTGGTTCACTATAGTTCTGAACACTGGCAGGAGATGAGATGCGGTGGAAGTTGCTTTGATTGCAGAAACACATCACGAGGTCTTCAGCATGTCAGCGTTGCCGGTTTCATCGCCACAGGAAGTTCGTGCCACGACTTCAAGGCGAGCACCGTTGCCGCCACCTCCGCCTGAAGCACCGAGACCTTCGACAAGGATCATTCCACGTGCTGCACGGCTCAGAGTGAGCGATCCCAGAGAACACCAGAGACGACAAAAGACCATGTGGAGGACACTTCACCGTCTACAATCCATGGACGCCCTGCGGAAGATGATCGTGATTGATCATAAGCTGCAAGAGCTCACTGCTACTGTTGAGAAATTTGCAAATGTCATTGAGCATATGTACAAGAATCAGTCGAAGATGGAGCATGTTGAACTCAAGCCAAAACAGAGATCCCGAACTCCAAGGAGAAAACGCCGCGATAGCCGAAGCCATTCTCGGCCGTCGCCGGTCAAGGGGCCGACGCAATTCGAGGTCGAGAAGGAGGTAGTTGAAGAGGGGCCCAGTGAAGGTTGTTCCGCGACAGTCCCTCGTGCATCGAAGTGTGCCTTTTCGCCCCAGTGCGCCATCCAAACCTATCGGCAAGGCAAGTCGACCCATTGGTGCAGCTCCATGGCAAGAGTACTCAGATTCCTGTGGACGAGCACGTGACGATCATCAAAGTGCTGTGAAGTATGCGACTCCGACAAGGAAGACATCCATGTCGCACAATCCTCCTTCATTATAGAATAAGATTCATACCCAATTAAGTTATGTCAACATAGACCCCAAATAGCATAAGAATGCATAAGATTATTGTGGGCAGCGCCCTCCACCGGTACCAGCACCCAGCCCATCAACCTAGTAGCAGCGCCCTGCAACGGCACCAGAACCTAGGCTCCAAAAAGCACATGGCCACACACCCCTGGCGGCGACACCCTGCAGCACTAGCAGGGCACACAGGCACCCCTTCCTATATATTTACTTGAAGTAAGAAATCCAATAGCTGCAATAGCTCTTGCAATATGGAAAAAATCGACCATGTAAACAGCTGAGTACCCCAGCCAATTGTTTGTCTTAAACATTTTTGACATCGTTCAATATCATTAGTTGCGCTTTAACCTTCTCAGTCTTTGTCCATCCTGTCTGTGCACATTTCACCAACATTTCAAAAGCGAAGGACTGTGACATTGGCTTGTACTTCATCAGGATCTTGAGACAAAGAAGCAGGTCGGCGTGCCTACCTACATGATGCGCATTACTGTGCCTGCGAGGTGTAATTTTCCGTTGGCTAACATTGGAAGGAAGCAAGGGGCTTACATCATGCTCTCATTGATGTAGAATGTAGACCATCTTGTGGTAAACCTCGTCGCAGGCAGCAGTCTGCACACCACTTCCAGCTCTGCCGCTCTCATGCACACACTACCCGCAAACACCTCGCTCTAGGTTTGACACTTGCCACCTTGAGCCGAATGGAGTTGGGAAAAATGAAGTCTTGAAACGTGGGTTTGCTGGCACGAGCTTGCATGAATTTTGAAGCAAGAAGGACAGGTTCTCCTCTGCTAATTCGGAAAGGGAAGCGCATTGCTCGGTTTTAGTGAAACGCATCGCCAATGATCAAACTTTGTTGAGTTGAACAAGCCTTGAATGGATTTTTTTCTTCAAAAAGACGGAGTTTGTTGGCGAATGCCTTGGCTCTCCTGCGCCCTTGTTGAGCGCAAAGTCACCATGCAAAGCCTGTGCATGGAAGAAGCCGAACCAAAGCAAAACAATCCCCGAAAGCAAGTTACAACGAGGTGTGTCGTAAGTACATCAACATCAATGGTGGGCAAATGATGGGAAGCCTCACTCATGTTCAAACATCATGGATCCACTGCTTGAATGCACCTAGTGTTTGGCTGAAGTCGTGATTGCAAGCTATTCCACTTAGAGCCATCTTCAAAAACAAAGACCTTGAAGACCTGCCAAGCATTTTTGCCACAGCCGATGGTCCAAGAATCTTGGAAGCTCCAAGCTTTACCAACCCGGGCCGCTGCCGGTGGAGTGGGACAAATGATCATCAAAAACATCGGAACGTGGACCAAATTGGATGTCCATGGAGGCAGCTTCACAGTAGCAAGAACTGTGCGCTCCCACAGGTTGCTGCTTGAGATCGTCAGGTGAACCTTCAACCTATCTTGAAGGATGACCAGAATGAGAAAGGCTGCCAGCTCCAAGAAATGAGATCGATCAACTTAGGAAACCCGCTCCATCACGCCATAAAGCTTCTCGTACCAGTTGAGACCATGACGCAAAAGGCATGGAATAGATGAATGATGGTCTCCTCAGCTGGCAAACTGAGGCAAATGATAATATGATATAATGATGCCTTAAGCCTTAAACTGATTCGTCAGCTTGCATGATGATTTTATGCAATTTAGCACCCTCAAACATCATCCGGCCACGTCCAAAAAGCAAAAAAAAACATTTTTTTGAGGCCATGAGGCCGCCTGGATTAGTCAGGTAGCATTTCTTCAGGAAGGATGGCTTTCTTGAATTGGCCCTCCGCTGTGCAGCCAGGTCTTCCAACCACCATCCAGGACTGCCCTGAGGCAACACAGCTATACTGGACGCAAAGTAGAAGGTCCGGAAGGTCAGTGTCTACTCTGAAACAACTGTACACATGAACCAACAAGTTCGTGGCAACGCTCTCCATGAAACATACCTAACCGTCGGACAACTGCTTGTTGGACATGATAAGCCTAGACAGAATAAACAATGCACCCTGTCACACACCAACTTGCTCAATCCGTGTCGCGCCCCTAACAGCCCTTCCACTTCGTGGGGTACTCTAGGGTGGGTATTGACAGAAGACAAGTGATGTACAAAATATGCACGTGTGAAAGAAGAAGACATGGACCGGTGTAATACGCAGTCTGTGTCTTTCGCAAATTTCTACGAACGGAATGGCCAGTATGCATCTAATTGATGTTCCACGAGAGCTGGGACAAATCTTGTTGTAGGCGAATGCATTTCTTGACGCGCTGATACAAGTTATGTCCCTTTTCAAAAGACATCTCGAGATCATGGATTGGGGAAATTAAGGCCTTATCCAAGCGGGGTTGGAACGGTACCCGGACATTTAATGGATAGGGCTGTCCGGCAAGAGACAAATAATCATTGAGTAAGGTAGACGGTAGACGCGAGCTCAGTTTGAGGCAAATTGGGTCGGGCCGCAATTCCACCAACTAGGCTTCTGTGAAACCCAAGGCGAACGAGGGAACTTGCTCCTGTCTTTTTATGCCTTGGGTAAAGGTTTGTCTTGCCAGTACTTTCTAAGTATCGAACTCCTGGACGAAAAGCGGATGTTTGATGAACTAAACTTCGAGAGTCTGGTTTTAGTAGCGAGATCGGATCGGAGAAGAAGTCGTGAGGCACGCATGCCCTTTGTCGGAATCGTGTACCCAGACGGGTAAGCACATGTCTGCGTACATCGTGAAGTGTATGGTCAATTCACAACGCACCCTGTCAGGACGACAAGGAGAAATCAAGAACAAGAGAAGTGACCCTCGCTAGAGGACACATTGTACTTGAGTCAAGGTTCATTGCAGTGGGCCAGATTCGAAAATATCCAGCCAAAAGTAGCGCAGCATCCCAGGACGATTCGTCCTCCTCTGCATAGATGATCATGTTGCCACTCTTGGCCTCAGAGCTGAATATGTTCCCATTACCTGGGTGAGAGTAACCCCCAAACACAGGTTCATCCGAAGCGCACTCATGTATTTGGGGTTGCCAGGCTGCGAGCCACAGAAAGCCTCGCGACTTGCTTGAAAGACCTGCCTCATCATGTACAGTATCCTGGTCTCGCTGATCCAAGTGACGTTCAAGCGCTCACAAAGCTGCAACCTCAGTCCAACCAAGCAAGGCTTGCAGCAAACATAGACTACTCTCGGTTGAATGTGCGTTCCTGACCAGCATCTGTGCGAGGCAAACGTCAATGGCAAGTTCACAAGGCCGAGAGCTTACAAAGTTTATCAAGACTTTACATTTTGAGGACGTTCGTCCATATGAATTAATCCTAATCCAACTCAAGTGAGCAGGGTGCTGATTTTCAAAACACTCTCGCCCGTGTTGCGTTGCGGTGCAGCTATACGTGGTTCTACTCCAATTTGGCCAAAGGGATTGGAACATATTGGAACCAAACGCATGTAGGACATGCCTATTCTATGTCATATATGCACATATATATATATATATATTTATATATAAATATATCCTCGCATGTCTTCTTTTTCCAAGGTACAAGACATCATCGTCCAAGGATGCCAGGGTCTCAGTAGCAGCAGGATGGGGCAGTGATATGGCACCCGGAATGCAGCCACCGGCTGCACCTTCACATCACATGCCATTTTGCACTAGCATGCAACAGCAAGCATGTGACCATCTGCTCAATTTCAAGCTTGGACTCGAAAGGGGTTAGCAGTCAGGCAAGCACTACGGGAAACGCATTCCTGCAAAATGTATTGAACAGCCAAGCCTGGAGGGCGGACGTCGATGAACACATGCGCTCCTGCTGCATGCAAGCCTAGGGAAGGAGATTGCAGCTACAAACGCAAAGCCATCATCCAAAACCAGCACTTGCGGCACCCACAAACACAGTACAAGCACACACTTTTTGCAATTTGTGCATCTTCAATAAGCCTTGATTGAAGAAACGTCAACCATCAAACGTCTGCGCTTGCAGATTCTCAACTCAGAATTGGCGTAAAGTGTCCAAACAAACATGTGTCCTGAATGATTCCCACATTGTGTCTTCTTCCTAGGGCCCGTAGGGTTTCAGGTTGCTCAACTCTCCGCTAGCAACAACAACATGTATACAACAGCCTTTAGGAATGCAAGCAAGTGTCCTAATGCTTCTTCTCCTCTTAACATCTTGGGATCTCCCTGAGAACTTGGAGGCAACTTCTCCTCAAACGTGCAGGTCGCGATGTTCTGACACCCTCGTGGGTGCGAGGGCAACTCTACCTCTGCAAGAGCATCTTAAAAGCCCAACCTTCCCAACATCCAAGGACACGTGACAAATCCAAAGCCTTGAACTGGAGGCAGCTACACTCAAATTGAGGCCCAAGGTTTTTCGAGCTACGCCCCTGAGCCAGACGCCTGAGCCACCATGAGCCATCGAGCCCAAACTCAACAGGCCAGCGGCAGAAAGCACCGTAACTGGCCGAGCTTCTCTCCCTTTCGCACTCCTCTGGAGAACCGCCGCACGGCCAGTGATGTTCCGAACCTCCAGGCGTGCCGGGCAGGCGTGCCGGCCACTCCGAATGACGTCAACGAAAAACAATAGACTCTCATGTAATTCATGCACTCTTAATCTATTTAATATGCTGTACTTGATCCAGTTATTTGCAGAACTTGATGATGTATAGAAGTTGCTTGAATTTGCTTGGCCTTTAAAATCCTTGTATATAAATAGGGAGACCCCTCCTTACCTCTCTAATCTTCAATTCGTATCAAGCAGCTCATCCTTAATTACAAAACTTGAACCCCAAATCAGGGTTTTGGAGGCATAATAATAGTCAGGATCCATATTTATGAAATTCAGCTCAAGAAAAACATAATAGAAACCTTTAAAAACACTTAGAGACTTGGAGACATACCCACCCCCCCCTCTAATAACGAATGTAACATTATACACCTGGATACTGGGCGTCCCAAGTCTTCAAACGCTCCCATCGACAAGAAAGGGCCAATCAACTTGCACGACTGCCCAAAACCCAAGGAGTTGATATCTGTTGATCACGAGCGGATATTCTTTAACGGTGGTGGTGGCAGGAGTAGGAGCAAGAGCAGGATAAGGAGAAGTAGTAGAAGTAGAAGTTGTTTGGACGACTGGTGCGGTTTGCGTTGGCATGTATGATGACTCCGCTGGTGCGACGTTCGCCTCATTGATGACCATTTCTGCCTCCTGTATACGGCTTGGCAAAGGTCCAAAGAGCCAAATGGGCATCCGACCCGCAATCCATCCAGTCCTACTGGCCGAGCTTGGCGTGTAAAGGTTGCAGCACAATGATGGGATCACATCCGTGACTGCAGGCTGTCGACCATATCTCTGGTAATACTTCGACCAGGAGCTTCGATAGGTACTTGCAAAGCCCAGATCTGATGTCCACACCAAACATGGCCTAAGCATCCCACTGTATGCATAGAAACATGCAGAGACACAACAGGTGAGTCAAGTTGCTCCTCAAACTTGTCAGTACGAGTGAGGGGTGGTTTGGGAAGTGTATCTGCCTTATTTATGCTAAACGCGCACAATCCAATTAAATCGGACACGAAAACAACCATGGTGGAGCTTAGCGACTTTCTCTCGATAGGGAAGCCACCAAGTGTCACCAAAGAACCTGCCCAAACCCGCTCTGCAGGTGTGGCTAGTGGAGCTTGAAGATAACGAATACCGTCCAGCTCCATGTCGTAGCCAAAATGGGTATGCCCAAAGACATGCACATCAGGTTTCAGCCTGAAACCACCGTTTCTAAACGCGTGTTGGTGAAACATTGTGAAACCACCATGAGTGAAATTAGCCTGGATCTCAGCCCGTGCCTAGGATTGAAAAACATCCCAAAAGGGGGTCACCCTTCACATCCCTGTGTCAGGCGCCTCACGAAAAAGCACAAAAGAAAGTACAATGGAAAATGCTTCAAGTCAACTCCAGAAACTTCTCGACCCTCTCCTTCAAGTATGCAGAGCCAACCTCGGCAAGAGTAGGGAGGGCACATAGGCAACAAAGAAACCAAACAAGGCCCAGTGATGGATGCCTTTTGGATCCGTTGTTTGAGCAAGTTCTATTAGTGAATGTCGCTCTCTCCCTCTTAATCCTATGCGTATGCAACTGCAATATGTGTAATTATGTGTGTGGACTCAAGTCATGCACAAAACCAACCATTTCTTCTCCTAGGTATCTGGGAGCCCGAGCAACTCTGCAAGAATACAAAGAAAAGGAACCGTGTAAGCTCTGGGAACATGGGCACATCTTCCAAGCAACCTCCCCCTCCCCCGACCCACCCTATTGTTTCCACCCTTCAAGTGTGTGAGAAGTGTCCAAGCAACTGCCTTGGCCAAGGAGGATGGGATCAAATATCGCTTCTCAGGGTTCAACTCAATCCGTGGAACAAAGTGTGAGAAGGATACCACTGCTTGGAACTCATCTCGCCGCTGCATCACATTCTGAAAGCCTCAACATGCTAGAAGCCGCTGCTGGCAAGCACTTCTGTCGAAGCCCATCCGCAAGATTGGTGGTTTCCCCCATCCGCGGCGCGAAGGGTGAAACCAATGGAACTGAGGGACTCCCAAACACCCCAACCAGTAGGACTGCATAGAACAATTTTCCCGTGCAGTCTGAGCCGCAGCGTTCATTGAGCTGATCAAACGCTTCAGCGACACTGCCATCTTCGATGCGCAACTTTTGTGGCCATCTGGTCGCCCAGTAGTCCTTGGCCCGGAGTGGCTGGAGTATGTCTATGGTGGCCATCTACATCTTTTTGCAAGGAAGTCTCGGCCATTGTCTTTTCAAGTGCCGGAACTTGCCATTCCTTAGCAGTTTTTTTGGTGCTAGTTGTTTCTACAAGGCTTTGGTCCCTCAAAAACAGTGATGAACATGGATGTCGACTCATAGATTTGATCACAGTCAAGCACTTGTGTCCAAGCCAAAGTGAACACGGTAATGTAGACTCTTGATTCCTAAAACCCTCGCACCATTTGGATTGTAAAAAGGTCTTGATATGGGCGGTTAAGATATAATCAAGAGTTTACATGGTCAATTACGTAGTGCTCCTCCAATTTCACCAGCCAGGAGTCTTGTAGTTCTGGCTCGGTATCCCATTGTGGATGATGCCAAGCCAGTATTGGCACGACCACGAGACGCCCAGCACCTGCAGGGTTGATGCATCTGGGATGACGTCCGGGTTCAGAATGGCCGGAAGGCTCTTGAGCCCAAAACTTTTACAGTAACCCGGCATGCCTGTGTTCAGGATGCCAGGTGTGGTTTCCTCAGATGAGAGGGTGCAATTCAAATTGGTTTACTTGTTGATGATCGGGTGATTCCATGGCGGGGGGAACTTGTACCACAAAATCTGCCACAGCATAGCATGGTGAATCCGAGACTGATTAACTTACTACAGCCGCGTCCAGGGCGCAACGCCGCACGATTTGCAAACCTCCATAATTGCATGGAATTTGTCCTCAGAATCGTCAAAAAACTAACAGCAAAAACCCACTGAGAATTCAAGATCAACAAGTGGCCCATATACACCGACCACATCCGTCTCTGCCCACCTGCAAGAGACGATGGGCTACAAGCCATCGCATCTATGCCATCTAAACATCGCGGACATAACTGCCACAACGCGCGTGACCAGCTGCCAAGTATCCATTGAATTCCCACCCTTCCATCCTTGCATCCACAAGTCATGGTTGCCTCGAGGTGAAACCCTACACAAGACTGCGCCAGTAAAAACGACCGCATTTGATGTGCTGTTCTTTCTTGAGCGTGCAGGAACCGACTCCTTGCAAAGCTGGCAGCAACGCAAACACTTTACCTGTCACAAGTTGTTCACATCTTACGTCTTTGCATCTTACGAAGGATTCTTCCTAGATTCTCTGTGTGTGTGTGTGTCTTGGTTTCCCCCACCCCTTGCAACACTATAACTAGTGCCTTTCCAATTGAAGTCCCCTCAAATCCCCCACGGTGCAGCTGGAGGCCAAAGTCTCCCACTTCATCTGTCTGTGGCTTCAACTTGAGCAACCGCCGACCGCCCCAAGGCCAAACCATCACAGGGCATGTGTTCCACCAATCGGCCAAGCTGCCTGGACAAAAGAAAATACGCTGGAAGCGGGCCTTCAATAAGAGCAAGGTTTCTTCAAGCACCTCCATCGTGTTCGCGATATCACCGGCCAAAATGAGAACATCCTCCTGAAACCTGACATCAGCAGCATCAGCCGTAACCATGAAAAATGGTTGCGGATCGTTCGACGTAATTTTCGCAGCGGCTGTCATAACGGGCAGTCAAGAAGATCATGAAAAGGCCGCGTGTTAATACATCTGATCCTGTCGACAATCCGTGGCAACCCCATCCTATTCTATCCCATAGTTTGATATTGTTTGAGGCTTCCACTACTTTGACTTTGCAATGATCAAATCAGGTCGAACGAATTCCAACATCACGTAGACTGTTGATGAATCAAATCCCCCACACAACATCACATGACCAGGTTCTACACTCCAAATTGTGGGGGCTTTACCCATCAGCCAACTCCCTTCATCCAAATGAACGCATTCTCGTCCAACTCGCGGATCCATTGCATGTTCTCCTTTTTGTCCGTGTGAATGTCGGACAGGGCCCATAAACGAAGCACGTTCTCGGGAAGCACGAGCGCATCGATGGCGCGTTGCACCAGCACTTTCTCCTTCCTGGCGGAGAAGCACTTCGTCTCAGCGAGGAAAACTGACGCCAAGCGGAGTTACAGTGCGCTCCGACGAGTTGCAGCGCCGACGAGTCATGCGGCCGAGCTGCACTTTGATGGTCACCCATCCGGACTCGGGGCCCTCGCCTGCAAAGACTTACCAAAGAGCATGCATGCTTAGTCGGAATCTCTCAGAAACTGCTTGGGGCACTTCCAATCACTTCATATCAGGATGGTGTTTGGAATGGTTCTGTAGTTGCAAGCGATACACTTCTCAAAGCTCCATGGCAACACCCCAATGGATAGCCTTGGAGCTTCTTGAACTGGAGGCGCTCCCCCACCATGTCCATTTCGAGAAGAACTGCTCCAAATGACAAACGCTCCTGAGCCACACGCTGCAGCTTGCTTTGATTCGCCAACCAAGAATATGAAGTGCCGCTGACTCAAGACAATGATTTATACATATTTTGTCCATAATGTGCACAAATGGATAAATCATGATGCTCACACATATGATGCTCTGAGGCTCAGCCAGTGCCTCCGAAGCCACGCTTGACCCAGACCGAACTAAGATGCTGCGGGCCACCACAGTCCAATGGTCTCCACGCATGGCGCTTGGTTCCTCGAGGTTCTCTATAGAAATGGTTTAGAGTAACTCAGGCTCGGCCATGTACAAGCTCGCCCAGGCCTAACAGGCGACAGCTGTGAAGGCATTCTTTGGCCTGAGTGCCTTGTTTGTTGCATCTTGAGCACCAACCAACCCATGTGTACATAGACTGCTCAGATGCTTTACTCACTAAGCCCTTTGCCTAATCGCGATATTCGCCATTGTGTGCTGCCAACCAACCTTCTTAGGCTCAGCCAAATGGCTTCATACATTCAAAATGGGTTCCACCTCTGGTCGATCATGTCTGAAGATGCTGGCACATCCTCACACGCGCAACGACAACACTTCTACTTGGCTGCTTAGTCTTGCCACCATGCCTGATATTGTACAGTGGCTGCAGGTGCTCGTCACACCTCAAACCCAAAAAGCACTGCAGTTGTTGTCATGAACTGAGCACATCCGACTCGCACGAGTGTGGTCACTTAAGCGGTGAAAGAGTATATACGCGGTATTAAAACCTGAAGAATGGGAACTCATCTGTATGGGATTAGCACAGACTAAAACCCCTAGTAAAAAAGTCTCACTGCAACTAAGGCACTCCACAAAGAACACAACTTTCATACGTTGGCACCACATATTTGATGTTGATGAAGGCATCATCTCCTGTTCTTCTGTGCATCTTCGGGATTCGCAAAAAATCACAACAAGTGCAAGGAAGAGTGCTTGCTCCACCAGGGATGGTGCTCCACTCCTCCATGCTCTTCCAAGATCTGTAGGGTTTCCTTGCTGAAGCCACACGCGATCGCAAACAATAGAAAACATGGTCCAAACAATTGATATACACCGGTCTTCGCCAAGCTTGGCGAAGCAATAAAAGGGGTGTCGTAGTTCCAAAGAAGTCTTGCAGCTGTATGTACCATGAAACCTTTTTCTTGTAGCACCCAAGAGATCCAACACTAGTCCAACAAGCTCGTCACTTTTTCTCTTTCGGACATCTGTGCTTTGGTGCGAAAATGACTGAAGTGTCTGGAAAAAACTCAGAGATTGCAACCACATTCAATCATTGGCACGAATCTAAAAAAGCTACCACACTTGCAGTGTACCACATTCGAAGAGGTGTTGAAGAAACACTCCGCACATGCTGCCCACTTCAAGACTTCAAGCAGTCCAACATACCAATGCAGCTTTGCATCTGTGATGAGATCACCCAAGCACAAGTTCTTGCGCTGGCCATAATCCATGTAGTCACCCATATCCTTCAAGTCCAGCACATTTGCACATGCTGCAATAGTGCCTGGCTTGTTAACATAGCCTTTGACCGGTTGCATGCGACTGGTCATTTTATGACACCCTGTTGTGGTTCGACAACTGCATATTCTTCCCCTCTTGCCAACTGGCTGCACAATCAAAGTGCCGTATGGATCTGGCTTATGGGTCTTTGCCAATACCAGTCCTTTGAAGGAATATTCCGACTCTTGAATAGCGAGCATGGCGGCCTTCAGGGCATTTGCGCTCACATATGGCTCATGCTTCAACACACTGACATTCCGTGTGTGTGTAGTTACTATTGTTGTCATCGTTCTTAGATATATTAGTGTTGTCATGCTGCAGTGAAGGACATTCAATCACCTACATCGCAAAACACCACACTGTCCACGCGAGACAGCCGCAAAAAAACTAATAGACGCTACACATCACTCTGGGAGACGGACAAGATCTGCCTGTAGTAAGGCACTAAGGCCTGTCGCATGCGTCGCCGGGTGGCAAATGGGGGGAGTTCTGTGTGACCTCCACGGGCGGACCAACACAACGGATCACGACGGATCAGCGAACAAACATCTTTAACCAATACTGCCACTGCCAGGCACGGCCAGGCACTGCCAGGCCGCCTTAGACCATTTTGACCAATGCAATGCGACCCACACAATAGGTGAAGAACGGTGAAGATATGCAAACTGCACAATCATATGGACTTGGCTGGAAAATCAGCCATCTGCGGAACTGATGCCTCTCCAATCATCTCCTTGGCAGGCACAGGGCAGCAAGAGGTTCACAAGAAATTTCTCGGCTGCTCATTTTTGCAGCCGCTGCTTGAAGTATCCCAGATTTGCTGTGCTGCATTGCTGCTAAGGTGACTGTGATTATGCTGTGTGCTGCGTGCTGGAGACAACCCACGTGCACGAGGGATTGAAAAGGAAAAGGATCTTAGAGAAACTTCTATTGTAGCCGAATCATGCAACTTCTTCTCCTTCTTTTCTAATCCTGTCTGAGCACACGTTGAGGTTGTCGGCGCATGAGGACATCAAACATAAACACTGTTTGCTTAGAGTGGTGGAATCGTCCAACCAATCACCCGAATGAGGCAGGCGAGGCGGCTTTATGTGCCCCGGAAGTAAACACATTCCTCTTCTAGAAGTACCGTGGATGCAGCTCAATATGCTCAATTGTACACAGTTGTTGCACACACACCGAACAATCATGAACCACACCGTGTGTTTCTTCACTTCACTCGAAAAAACCTTCCGGGCTTGCATGTTCACCGTGGTTCCATGTTCAAGGTATGAGTAGTGAGTGGACTGAGTGCAGGCACCCCTCAACTCAATTCCAGTTGTTGTTATCTTTCGGGTGTTTTCGTGAATGCTGCTGACGCAACGGCATGGGGAACCCGGAACGTCACACTGGAATAATTCGTACCCAAATTCAGCGTGGCTGCCGATCAAAAACCCCGAGTCTTCGACCAACACCGTCTATTCTGCGTCAAGCATCTCCGCTCAAAACCAGTTTCTGCATGAGCTTTAGGGTGGTGCACATGATCTGCGGATCGCCTGGGCTTCATACATGTTCACATTGTGAACGAACCCTGCATGATAAAACCCAAACGAATATCCGAACAGCTCAAGCATTGGCAACAGTGGCCCAACAAGCATTTAGGCACACACGATGTTCAGCCTCTAGCCTAGCTGGTTACCCTTGTCTTGGCCATCTGGCGAGTGTTGAGAGCTGCTTTCAGAGGGATCACCAGCTGTGGCACCACCTGAAGCGGTGAACTCTGGGCAGCATGAACCAGCAGAACAACCCTTAGAGAATCCAACACCCACTTTAGCACCTGGATGCCTCCGTGCCATGAAGCTACGAGTTCTTCTGACATGTCCTTCGGGCTGCAGAACTTCTGGGCTGCAGACTGGCAAAATCCGGTCTCCACCCTGACGGGTGACTGGGTAATTAGTGTGTTGGACTTGGTTCACGAACGGCCCTTTCAGTATCCACACAGCAGGTCTGTCAATCCAACTTCTCTTCTCATAGATGGACGAATATAGAACCTTCATCTTGATCCGTCGCACCTTCTCAAGCATATCATATGCCCCGGTGACTGCCATAAACCTTGGAGAGTATAGAAACCAAGCTGAAGCCCCGAATGCAAACTAATTGCATTAAACACCCACGGTGCATTAAAATCTGTCAGACAATGGCGATGGCAAAGGTAAATGATTATGCGCGCGCACACGCACACACACACACATATATATATACACATATATCTATATAATTGCATACAAATACATATATACACATGTATCTCGATTCTTTTTCCTACCATTCCTATTCTCTCTCAGACTGAGTCTTGGGGCCGGAAAGGGTCTTCCTTTTCCCGCAAACCATCGAAGAAGATGGGCAGGTAGTGGTGATAGTCGAGCTTCTCCACCTGGTTTCTTCGCTTCGCCCTCGCATGGCACGTCGCATTGGCACGTCCCTCGGGGGCGGCTCTGAGCTCCAGGCGTCCACCTTCCACAAGAGCTTCCCTGAGATGCACGAAGCAGCGAAGCAAATCTACAGGAAGGACCCCTAAGCTGCTAAGCAAACTATGATATGCAGTTCTACTTATATACTGTAACTTGTCTGCTTTCAATCGTTACGAACAAAGGTCGCTCAGTCGGACTCAGTCGCTGTCGAATTCTCTGCACGTATTTTGCATGTAGGTATCTCGCGCTGTTTCTCTCTCTACCTTACCACACTGGAGTGCAAGCAAGTATCCCATGGCGCCGTGGTATATTTGCACTGGCAAATCGCCCCTCCTGAGCGGCTTGAGGAGTATGTACCGGACGTGCAGAATATTGCAGAATTCAGTGGAACTAGGAACGCACGAATACAAACCAAAGAATCCAGCCACTTGCTTGAAAAAAGCAAGCTTTGCAGTGATGAGAATGGACATCTTATTGTTAAGCAGTTGAGATTGAGGTGCATCCATCAATTCGGCTTTGTTGGAGGTTAAGGTTTTCAGAGGAAGATTGCAACAATCTCTACAACAAAAGATAGACAGCTGTTGGGGTCAAACCACCCACAAACCAAAGATCGGCCTGTCTGGACGACTGCAATGAAACGGGAGCAAAAGCTATTTTCAACTTTCGACTCTCACGTGGAAAGCCCTAATTAGGGTTGTCCAGGTGGGAACTGCGCGCAAAACAAACTCACTCTCTCAGGGGCCGTCTTGCCTGTAGTTGGATCTTCCATTATTCTATCTACTCCAGGATGACTATATACTATATATATATATCTACTGTACTCATCTGTAATCTACCATATACTAAGTTCCCTCTTGGACCGTTTCGAGCTTTTTCAGAGCTCCAGCGATCTGAGGCTGAGGTCATGGCTCATAGAAGAACCGCAGCCTTGGAAGAAGGAGCAGCCCTTGACTGGTCCATCAAGGGGTGTCGCTTGTGACCGAAGAGTGGAGCATAAATGCGCATAGTCACGGATAGGCTTGTCACTAGGGCTCTGGCATGGACGGTTTGATTGGCTTCCGCCTGCGATGTTGTGTGACTGATGACGATGATCGGAGGTGCATCTGTTTAGGCTTGAACATGTTGAAGTGAAGTCATCGCAAGCCATGGAATGTTGAAAGAGTCTTCTGCTTCTTTGGAGTTCTCACGTTCTCCTAAGATATCACAAGCAGTTTGGTCAATTCTGAAGTTCCACCAACTGAGCTCCACGGTGATGTTCCCAAGAGTTGGAGGATGCCACCAATTGGGCCACCCGTTGGGCTCCCTTTGGGTTAGCTTCGGTTAAAACCAGTACCTTTTCATCCCACGTCCCAGTGGTCGCCTGTAGGCTCCAGCTTTCGGTGGGCCTTCGGCCTTCACCGCCCGAGGCCTTGGGAGGGCGACCGAAGGCGACCGACGGCGGTCCCCGCCCCATGCATGGGGAGGGCCGAACAGCAGGACCGGCCGTACGCCATCCGAGCTGGAATGGGCACGCCCAACAACAACTGGTTCCAGTGATTCTACGGTTTTGGTCTTTGGTGTTCAGTGCTCATCGCATCGACTGTCGTAAACTTGGGTAACTCGATGGCATAGCTTGCTTGCTCAAGCGCATGCATGCTCATGCATGCCACTGTAAATCAAAACGCCGCTACAATGATTGGACCACCATGTATGACAGGAGTGGTGGGGCCATCTGATACAAAGCTCAGAACTTGATCTCACCTTTGAGGATTACAGTAGAGTTCCTGGACATGTCACTCACAACCACTCCGCAGAAGCTTCGGTTTTTCTCCCGTTTTCTGTCCCATCTGCTCAGCCCTGCGATTCAAAAGGCAGGAATGTTGAATTGCGGCACTGCTTGCGAGTGCTGCAGCTTTGGTTGATGAAGAGGCTGGCTGTCGTGTCACAATCTCTGGGAGTGGACTTCGCAAGACTTGAGTCAGAAGTATCCGGACAAAAAGGCCTGCTTTACAGGATGATTTCGGTCACCTCTGCCCCTGGACTGCAACCTGAGATTTTGCGCTTTCCGGAGCTTGTTACCATGACTCCAGCATTTGCAAACATGGTAGCTGTCCGCTTTCAATCGATTCGTTTGGCCAAGTTGCAATCCTTACAAGGAAACGGCCGATCTTGATTCCAGAGACGCTTGTTGCCCTCCGTGCTCAGGCCATCGTACCATTTCCTCAAAGCAGTATCCCGTTATCACTCTAAACATCTCTGCGGTGTGTATGTGCATGTGAAGCTAGTACGAGTAGCTTTGAAACAGCTTCCAACAATATCTGCTGCATTTCCCAACATCTTGCCTGTGCGCCAACTTTGCCAGCTGCCATCCAAGTGGCTGAATGGCAGTTGACACGAGGTCTCCGTCAATGCGGATCAAATTCCAAGCCCCGCAGTGATGATAGCAGCCATCCAGGAAAGCACCCGACTTGGGGTTCTTTCCGAGCAAGTTCTTCACCAAACCTCAGCAAGAACACGTGTGAGTAGCAGAAACAAGAACAATCTTGTTGGCAGGAACCCAAATGCTTTTCCCAGATGTTTTGCCATGCGCAACCATCTTGAAAGTTCTTTGGCCGTGGGCGGCCCGATCTGAAAAATCCCAGTGTAAAAACAGCCGAGTTGAATCGTGTTGTAGGGGTTTAACTCTGTGAAAGTGCACCTCAGGATTAATATGGCCCACTCCATCGCAAGAGTGGACCCCTTTCTGCGCACCAAGCATCGCTCTGTGATATTCTTCCCCAGCATTTGAGTTTTTGTTGATCCTCCAGTGCCTTCCACGTGGCCGACCTGCCATGAATCCTGAGGCCAAGCGCATCAGCGCATCAGGCTTTGGCCAAATGATGAAGCAAGACAGCCCAGCTAGCACCCAGAGTAGCACCCAGCTAGCAGTGGATCGGATAGCATCACAAAGACTGCAGTTCGTGAATTTTGAATAGAACCACTAAACAAGCCGCCAATTTTTGAAGCTGCACCGGCAACCTTGCGCTGAATCGATGCATGCAAAGTACATACACAGACTGCATCGCGAAGACTGGCGTCTGGATATGCTCCGCGGCATGCTCTGCAAACATGCACTTCCATTCCTGCTGAGCATGAGTGCAACTTAAGAGCTAATCGTGACTATCACTGTAACTTCTCACACAGCTTTTGATTCTCCTCGTTTGTATGCTTGGCAACGCATTTCGAGTCAATGCCGGCCGTTGCATTCTGAATGTGGAATGTCCTGGCAGCATGCTCAAAGGAGTTGAACCCAATAAGGCCAACTGCATCCATGCAGTATGGCTAAAACCTGCGGTTTTGCAGTTCAACTGAACTTATCTCAGTACCGTACAGAAAAATATATAGTTGTATATATATATATTATTATACACGCACGTTCATTTTTATTCTTTGGCATTGTTCTTACGATTCTGACCTCTTCTCACTCCACCTCACTCTGTCAGCATGCCAACCCAGTCCATTTCAAGCCGCAGTGATAGTCCCCGTTGATGGTTGTCCCAAGCAAACTCGGAGGTGTGCATGGCACCTCTGGGTCCTCCGGTTTTTGGGACCAGTGTCTGACTCAAAGGCAGCCATCAGCCAACCAACTAACATAAAATAACTGTTCAAGCTACCATGCCTTCTCCTTCTCCCTCTCTCTCTCTCTCTTTTCATCGTGCTTGCTAAATCAAAATCCTTTGGCTTTTGGTATGCAGGTTTTATGGGAACTGGTGACTGCTTGCCATCTCCTGGTAATCCAGGAAAAAGCCACTGTCTGGCAAGGCCGCGCATTTGGCCGAAGGATTGGCCGCCTGCAGCCTTGGCATGTCAGCCTGGGTGGCCTGGCCTACCGTTTCTTGTGAAAGCAGAAGCACACAAATGAAAGGCATTGAAAGGCCTATTCTCATATCCTATTATCCAATTCTGCAATCCACCCCGTGGCGCATATTCCCTTTGAGTTCTGACTCCTTTCACTTATATAGTGGGCAGCACCTGGAACTAGCATCAACAGCCGAATTCGCACGACCAACATCCTTTTCAGTGTTCTCACCCCAAGCTTTCCGGCGTATTTTGGGTACGAGTGCCTGGGACCCCGTGCCGCATCCACTGATATGGGTACCAAGCGTCTGGGACCCCGTGACGACACGATACGCGGAGAGGTCTTGGACAAAACCAACCCCCATCCAATGGGTTGGACGAGGCCCGTCGCTCCCGACATTGTCTCAGGGAAGGAGCGCTTCACACCATTGATCTGCATGAAGGTATGTTGCCAAACCGCCAGCACTGCAACCAGAGACCATCAAGTCGGTCGCTTGGTTGAGGCCATGTTGCTCCATCAAATCCTGCACCGAAAAACAGGTTTAGTGGTGATGTTGGCGTGCACCTTAAGGGTGGCATGACGGCGCCCAACCTAATGTTCAAACAAACTCAAGGGACTCAGAGCTGCTCCTTCACAATAGCTTCTCTGATTCGCTTACCACGAAAGAATAGCGAGGTGTTCTGATATTTGGTGACCTCGGCAGGGCCAATCATCTTGATATAGCCTTTATTTAGGTATGATGCAAAAACGTATGGTTTCAAAACGTTTCAAGTGAAGCCGGTAACATTGTATTTGAAGCATCACAACTGGGAAGCATGCCGTATCATTGTTTCCACTGAAGCTGGCACCATCACCTGTGCATCTGAAGGTTGTGGGCAATCCGGAGCCTATCTACATCTAATTTTCTTCTATCCGGGCAGGTGACAGAATTGAACAGCACATGACACATTTTTTGTGCAACGCTGGCTTTGATGTCTGCGCATGCAACTGGGTGCCCAACAGTACTTCATGAACACATTGTTCCAGTTGTACCTCGGCCGCTGCCAGCCAACTTCCAAAGCGGTTAAAACCGCAGCAAAACCACGTGTGACACACGAATGAGTCTTGACAAGTCTGGTAGCTGTCAGTTCCGAATCTGTGATATCAACATGAATCTGAGGTGCATCAGCGGATTGTCCTGAGGATCTTTTGAGAAATATCCACCTCAAAGACCCCCGGACGTTCGGCAAACACAAATTCGCTAGCTGTGGGTGCGAAATGGGTTGGGATCATGCTAGTCGCTCAGCTTTCTGCCATTGAGTGGAATCTTCTCGGGATAGCGCGCCGAAGATCCCAAATCCTTAGCTCTCTGAGTGCTCCACATTTGATGCCAGGGTGGTTGGTGCATACTACGGCGTGGTTGGTGCATACATTGATTGACCGGAGGCCCGTTTGACCCATCTCCACCCAGTGTTTCTATCACCGCTTCTTGCATCATTCAGTCTGAATGCACCAAAACTGCCCTGCGGGGCAGTCAACGTATATCTACATCTGCAGTGGACCCCACCCCCCCAAACAAAGCAGGCTGCAGCGAGGTGCTGTTTTGGAGCGACCCAAGCAGTCGTCCAGGGACTCACACCAGCCACCTCCTTCATGATGCACATACCTCGTCCAATGGATGGTAGTTTTGGGCCCTGGGCCGGCCTTTCTAGGAGGGATTGCAGGGATATAATGCATGACACCTAGGCCCGCTTCATTCTAGTTCCACTGGCCATCCGGAATAGAACCCAATGGCTTTGTTGTCTTTGCTGTGCATTGTGCTTCTTTCCGTCCCAGTCATCTGTTATTGGGGTCCCACAGATTTTGGCAGGACTTCCTGCCATAGGTCGCAACCTATGGTAGTCACCTCCTCTTCAGAGGTACGGGGCGGCGATGAGGTTGACATTTTCCAAACATGCCTTGTTACTACAGTAGTAGCTTCTAGCTACCAGTAGCGATGCCTTTGTTCCTAGTAGCGATGCCCTTGCTTCTAGTAGCTTGAAAAAATGTGATCCTTATCAAAAAGTGAGACATGCTCTGATCTGCGCATCTGAGGCACCATTTGTTGATGCCATCGCCAGTGCCTGCCCAGTTGGCTCTAAGGGAGGCTGCAATATGGGTAGAAATGGTAGAAAAAGGGCGCCCAAGCCTGCCTATACATACGCTTAGGGATATCTAGGAGGCATATAAGCTGCCAAACACTTGTTCTGTTGACAGCAGGTTTGAAGTTTGCTTTGTTCACAGATCACCAAACATGGACATCCGTGAGCTCCATGCTGGAGGCCCTTGCCATCAAGGAGCCCTTGAGGAGGTAGTATGCCGCTGGAGACCCATCCAAGCAAACTGCCCCCTTGGCAGCCGCCTGCCATGGGTTCATTCCCGGTCAATTTTGACATCAACATGGTATTTCCATACACATGAACTACACAGAATCAGAATGTGAAAAGATTGAAACAGGATGAACACGGGAAGAAGCAAAGCCCCATGGGTGGAAAAGCCTGAGGCACCTTTCGTGCACCAAACGGACTGCAAAATCTGCAAAGCACATGTGGATTCTATCGGATTTTGCTACAGCTGGAAGGCTCTGGACCTCAGTGAGCTCGACTTTGATGGCTTCTTGTGCCACACAGGGCACCAAAGCCAGAAGCCATGGAAGCGAACTAAAGCTCATGGCTGAGTCCTTCTGGGCTGAGGCACTAACTACCACTGTGGGAACGAATGGTTTGATTCATGCAGCACCCGGCCAGGCATTCAAGTCATTCAAGATCAAGCTTTCCTTGCAAGAAGTTGTGGTCTCCTGGGCTTCTTCTGGGCTCTTGAATCCAAACACCACCCACCTGAATCCACAGCACTATCAAACACGCGGATTCCTCAAATGGTCCAGGTCTGAGGGCACTGCAGCGTCGCCGTTTTGGGACGTGACATCGCGCGTCTTGGGTCTGTCCTAGGAAGCACATGCTGGGTGACTCGGTGACTGAGGACATGTGACGCACTACCTTTTAAGTGCGACCATGAGGACGTGCGCCCTTGGATGTGTTCATGCAAACTGTGTGACCTAAACTGCATGACCTTCCTATCCTGCAGCCTGTGCCGAAACCCTAAGGCGACCTTCCTCAGGGGCAGACTGTGTCAGTCGCATTGCGGAACCTTGAGCTCGCAAAGTCGAGCCCTGAGAGCGGAAGGTTCAGGAGGTGGGTCGGGCTCTCGCCGGTCTCGACTGAAACGGCTGACACAGTCTTCCAATGGCCCTCAAATCGCCCTAAATATCCTAAACTCATGCGCTGAGCACATCAAGTATGAGTGACAGTAATCAGAAATGGTTTCCAAACATTCTGATGGGTACAAGTGGTGTAATTGGTGAATGAATGTGAATGGCTCGTGGACATCAAACATCTAGGTCTCTGCACCACGGCTCCAGCAGATTGAGGTCGCTGTGGTCGTATCTGGGGCAAGGCACACGCGGCACGCGCTTTCCCAATGGAGCCGGCTATGCCAGCAGTCCGGTAGTGCCGGACTGAATAAAAGACTGCTTAATTATATCACACCTAGGTCTTCAGCTGAATGGAAGGACTTTGAAGGACTATGCATCATGAAGGACTTAGCGTTTCCTTCTGCCATCTTCGTTTTCCCATTTCCACAAGTGAAGCAACCTCAGAAACTCGCGTCGCGGAGTTGCGTCCTGACTGGTCCGACTCCCGGACCTGTGAGTCGCTTTGGCTCCTTGACAACAGCCTGAGAGGCGACAGCGCCGGTTCGCACAGTGCGCGCAACGTAGTACCGCGTAGCGCAACGGTTCGTGATCGTGCGGTTGCAATGCCGTTCCTTTCTCTCGTGCGGTCGCTAGAAGGGCTCGTGCTCGTTCTTCTTTATCGTTACAACGGACTTTCAAGATGCGATTGTTATCGATTGCCTCTCCCAGTCTGTCTCATGAACTGCACATTGGTTGGCCCGAATAGGCTAGTGTTAGACTAATTGTAACATTCGATGTGCAGTAGGATGCAGCTGGCAAATGCAAAGCGGACAGCTAACTTGCATTTGGTAGCTTTCATCCACATTCATGTACAGGTGGAGCATGGTTGGACAGCAAAAACAAGGATATCTGGCAGCCTTGCAAAGCGCCATGACAGCTAAGTGCAACACATTGGATTGTTCTGCAGGATTGCTCCTGCTGATTGAGGCCGTGCCTTGTGCGCTGGGCATCAATGCATGCAAAGGCCCTGCATTGGGGGCGAAAGGAGCCAATGGTAAAATACAATCAAACACACAGGGCAAAGCAGAAAAACGACCTGATTGCAATGGGTCCATACGGGGTCCATATGGGGTCCATGGGTCATTCTTACAGCCTGCTCTGAGTTCCAGGTCTGCTCGACCTGAAAATAAATCCTCAAACCGTTGGACGGCTGGACGCTGTGAAAGGTGCTGCCAAGTGGCCCGAGCCTTCGGCCTGTGCCACACGGTTTCAACTCCGTCACGCAGAGGTTTGGGTTCACTTTCACGACTCTAAAGGTTCATGACTCTTTCTGCACCTCAGGTTTTGTGGCAGCAAATCTGGTGGAAAGTCTCCGAAGCACCTGAGCCCACTCTGCCCCGAAAACATCGGCGGACAGAGCAGAAGGACGGGAGAGTCCTTAAGTGTCTCACTAGTCCGAGAGCAAGGGCAGCGGCTGAGCTGGCGACGAATGAGATCCTCTTGGGACCAACCCCTTCGCCTTGTCACTTCGTAAGCTCCGGGAACCTGAGCCCGAACAAACGGTGGGTGAAGTACACGGGTGAAGTACACCAAACTCGGATCTGGCCAGCACTCCTTGCAGCCTTTCTCATATGGTCTCTTTATTTGGACAGATTTTCAAGTGACTTCAGGTGCATCATTGACCGCTGCAATCGACAGCTTGGATCAAGAAGGCTACGCGAGCTCAGTCCCTGACGAGTCAATGAGACATGGCATGCAGGTTAACACTTTGCCGAAGTTCCGACCCCCCCATGATCCCCAAGGGCGCCACCATCCTTGTAGATCATCTTGTTCAATGTGTCCTGCAACCGAATGAATCAAACCGTCCAACGGCCTCAAACAGCTGTAGATATCTTCACAGGCGTCTCCCAAGACACTTGGTGACTTTTTGGAACACCTTGGCTGAAGGCCTATAAGTCAAAACAAGCACGTCCCTTCTCGTAACTCTATATACTACTAATGACCCTGCAGGCACTAGGTACATTACATAGGCTTTTGTTGCATGCATCTCAGTTCAAGTTCACGGAGCCCATGAAACCAATGGAAGTACTCATATCAACTTGATGCGTACTTCAATGAGTATCTGAGTATCAATATCAAGAAGGACACTGAGCATCACATACAACGCTGTGCAGTCACAAAGCCTAAGCATCACATATAGACGGTCATAGATGCACCTGTCTTGCATTTCCCATCTGTGGCACATTCCGTCCTGCCCTGCTCGAGTCCTAGCCTAAGTCACTAAAGCCTAATCAATTGAGGTATATAAATAACGTAATGCACAATGATAACTATATATATATATAACTACACTATATATACTATATCTATGTTCCAGATGTCTTTTACACACATGCAATGAGCCTACCAGAATGATGTTCATGGGATGTATGGGCCTTTGCACAGGAAATGCCAACGTCTCACCCGCACTTTGCTCAAGCAGCCAGGCGTATCAACACTTGAAACCAACCCTTGCCAACCAAAATCTACGGAGGACATGCCCCCTCGAACGAACAAAGGCCGCAGGGACAAGTAAAAAACAGAAAGGAGCCTCACACAACGTGACCGTGTTTTGCTACACATGACCCGCTTTTGAACAATCCAATATAATTTGACCGCGTCCTCCATCAAGAGAATACCGGCAGGACTCATGGACCCCGGCATGGTGGCCTTAGCGTTCATAAGGCAACAACCTACCCCAACATGCACAACTAATTCCACATGGATCCATGCAAACTCAAGGTGCCGACGACTCAAGCTCAG